TCACACACCTTTTGCCATGGAAGCAGACTGCCACATCTTTCTCCTGCAGAGAGACTAATAGGTTCGAACCACCGAACATGTAGTTAGCAGCAGAATGCCTTAACCACTGTGTCACTAGGGCTTCTTGTCTGCCACTAGTCCTCTTTTTAATACTGATTTTTTCTGTGATTGAATTACAAATGATGGAATTTTCAAGCTGTTTTTCTTTTTTTCTTTCACATTTGAAACTCATCTCTGTTGTGCTCAACAAAACCTTTTCCTAGAAATATATTCATAGCACTCTTTTTAGGCATCACAGACAAAGCATTCAAGGTTAAACTGAAAGAATTGCGTTCATCTTGACTATTGAAGATCTCTGCTGCCTCTGAAGCCGGTGTGAGACTATTTACTTAAAATCTCAGGTTTGCTTCTTTAAAAGTAAACATGATTTTCTGTCTTGAATTGAGTTTTTGCTTGGTCTGGATTTGATACTGGAGTTAGACATGAAAAGAAGAGACCTGGTTGCCTAAAGGATGATTGGTGTGTGGCTGTGCCCTTCACTCAGCACCTTTTCGAAAAGGAGATTGTATTTGTTTTGTGCAGTGTGCATACTTAAGAGAGAGAGTGTAGTAGGGGAGAATAGTCTGCCTCTATTGGTACTGAAGGAAGAAGTTCAAGATGCACTGAAGGCACTGACGAAAAATAAGACTCCAGGAATTGACAGAATACCAATTAAGATGTTTCAAGAAATGGATGGAACGCTGGAAGTGCTCATTCATCTGTGCCCAGAAATTTGGAAGACAGCTACCTGGCCAGCCAACTGGAAGAGATCCATACCTGTGCCTGTTCCAAAAGAAGGTGACCCAATGGAATGCGAAGTTACCAAACAACATCATTAACATCACATGCAAGTAACATTTTGCTGAAGATAATTCAAAAACAGTTGCAACAGTACATCAACAGAGAATTACCAGAAATTCAAGCCAGATTCAGAAGAGGACATGGAATGAGGGATATAATTGCTGATGTCATATGGGTGTTGGCTAAAAGCAGAGAATACCAGAAAGATGTTTACCTGTGTTTTATTGACTATGCAAAGGCATGTGCCTGTGTGGATCATAACAAATTATGGATAACATTATGAAGAATGGGAATTCCAGAACATTTAATTGTGCTCATGCAGAACCTGTACACAGACCAAGAGACAGTTGTTTGCACAGAACAAGGGGATACTGCATGGTTTAAAATCAGGAAAGGTGTGTGTGTCAGGGTTGTGTCCTTTAACCATACTTATTCAATCTGTATGCTGAACAAATAATCCGAAAGCTGGTCTGTATGCAGAAGAATGTGGCATCAGGATTGCAGGAAGACTTACTGACAACCTGCAATATGCAGATGACATAGCCTTGCTTGCTGAAAGTGAAGAGGACTTGAAGCACTTACTGATGAAGATCAAAGACTACAGCCTTTAGTCTGGATTATACCTCAACATAAAGAAAACAAAAATCCTCCCAACTGGACCAATAAGCAACATCATGATAAATGAAGGAAATATTGAAGTTGTCAAGGATTTCATTTTACTTGGATCCACAATCAAAGTCCATGGAAGCAGCAGGCAAGAAATCAGAAGACATATATATTGCATTGGGCAAATCTGCTGCAAAAGATCTCTTTAAAGTGTTCAAAAGCAGATGTTACTTTTAGAAGTAAGGTGTTCCTGACCCAAGCCATGGTATTTTCAGTTGCCTGAGATGCATGTGAAAGCTGGACGATGAATAAGGAGGACTGAAGAAGAATTGATGCCCTTGAATTATGGTGTTGGTGAAGAATATTGAATATGCCATGGACTGCCAGAAGAATTAACAAATCTGTCTTGGAAGAAGCACAGCCAAAATGCTCCTTGGAAGCAAGGATGGCAAGACTTTGTCTCACGTACTTCAGATGTGTTATCAGGAGGGACCAGTTCCTGGAGAAGGACGTCATGCTTGGTAAAGTAGAGGGTCAGTGAAAGAGAAGACCCTCAACGAGATGGATTGACACGGTGGCTGCAACAATGGGCTGAAACATAGCAACGATTGTGAGGATGGCGCAGGACCGGACAGTGTTTTGTTCTGTTGTACATAGGGTTGCTAAAAAACAAATAAAACACTCCTTTCTCATTTATGTTCAGAATAAACATTTACATCTGGCTCGTTCCTGTAGTTAAAACTGCAGTTTTTGTTTATTTTTAATTGCCCCAAGTGCAATAGACTTTTTCCAAACAACCTTCTCTGCTTTATCTTTCGAGCTTATAACCATATAGGTACGTTTCACATTTTTATGCCTGAACTTCAGATTTTTTTTTTTTTTTTTCTTTTTTTGGCAAGTTTGCTTAATTAGCGTTTGTGGCTTGGAATGTACTTTGAAGGAACACTAACCAGGTGGAACCACTCTGTTTGATCTGCTAGATCATGTGTCTTACACCACCCAAATTAGGTTTGCAGTGGCTTTCCTCTTCCCAAACTTCTTGCCAGACTGCACTAAACATCATTTTAAACATGTTTCTGTTCCAGACCACAGTGGTTAAGCTTGGATTCTGCTAAGTTCAACAACACATGTTGAAATCCTTAGTTAATTCAGAACACATTAATATCATGTCAAGAAGCAATATAACACCTTCCCTCCTCCCCTCCTCTTGGCCTTGTGGTTTACCTAACTACAGTAGTTTGCTGGTATAGTTTGGCTTGGGATATGCAGCTGGACTTGAGTTCTGCACCTGTTTTCCAGGCCTACTCCCTAGATTCATCTCCTCACTGTCCACTGCATTCTTTGCATGGTTGTCTAAAGGAACCATCCTAAAGCTATAGATGTGAAAAGCTTTTTTTACTCCATTTAGAAGTGAGCTCTACCTAAGCATTCGGATATGTATTTTCTTGCAAACCATGTTAATCAGGTATTTCCTAGGTACAATGATCTGAGTATATATGACACACTAGTTTTCATTAAAACAAATATATTTCTAAATGTTTTCCTTTTCAAATAGCCATTCTTTTTTTTTTTTAACTCTTTCTAGTATTGTGTACTGTCTTACCCTTCACCAAAGTTAAATAGCCATTCTTTTTTTCTCCCAAATAGAGAGATGGGAAAATCAACAGTAAAATGTTGGACATTTTCTCTTTCATAAAAGTTGCTTGATGATATAAGTATGGAATACTTGTGTAAAATGGCCACTTTGTTTTGAGCAGATTAAAGAATGTGCTGATGAACCAGTCGGAAGAGGTTACTTGGTTTCCTGCTTGGTGGATCACAGAGGCAACATCACCGAGTATCAGTGTCACCAGTATATTACCAAGATGACGGCCATCATTTTCAGTGATTACCGTCTAATCTGTGGTTTCATGGATGACTGCAAAAATGACATTAACATTCTGAAATGTGGCAGCATTCGGCTTGGAGAAAAGGTATCTACCACATTGACTTCGCCAAAGGGGTATTATGAACGTGATAAATGAAAGCTTTGTGTAACCTGCATGGAAGAAACATAGGACTAGAGATAACCTTAAAGTTGAAATTAAAGAAGTTGTTACCCAGCAACCCCAAGAACTGAGGCTAGTTGACCTGTGGGATGCATTTCATCTATTTAAAATATATTGCTACTGTGTGGGGAAGTAGAAAAATTAATATCTGCTAAGAGTAATGTTACCTTCAAAATATTAGACGAGTTGGTGGTTACCTATAGTGTTCCCCTGGCAAACCATTTCAGTCTTGTAGGAAATGAACTTGGATTTGGAGAAACTGGAGTTCTCTAATCTTTTTCTATTTAAACCTTACTGTTTTTGTTGTTGTGTGCTGTCGAGTCAAATCCGACTCATGGCAAACCCTACGTGACAGAATAGAACAGCCTCGTAGGGTTTCCTAGGCTGTCATCTTTATGGAGAGCCCTTGTGGCTCAGTATTTAAGAGCTCGGCTGCTAACCAAAAGGTCAGCAGTTCATATCCACTATTTGCTCCTTGGAAACCCTGTGGGGCCATTCCACTCTGTTCTGTAGGGACGCTATGAGTCGGAGTCGACTCAGTGGCAATGGGTTTGGTTTCTTGGGTTTAATCTTTACGAGAGCAGATTGCCAGGTCTTTTCTCCTGTGGAATGGCTAGTGGGTTCAAACTGCTGACCTTTCGGTTATCAGCTGAACACTTAACCATCGTGCCACCAGGGCTCCACTTAACTATTACCATAAAAAAATTACTTAGCAAACACATTAGTTGTTCTGCACCTATAAAAGGAGATAGTTAAATTTTAGAAATTTTTAAGATATATGTAAGTACTTTTAGCTTTCCAGAATAAATGTACTCTGTAAATGTGATATATTATTATCTTCATCTCAGAATAACTGGTTTTAGTAAAGGCAGAAAAGAAAATAACTACCTTACTAGTTTCTTCCTTCTTAGTTATATCTGATCTTATTTTTTGACTTATTAGTATGGTATCCAGAAGGTCACAGTGGAAATTTGGCCTGTTTTATTCCTAATTTGTTTACTCAGTAGAAATGAAAGAAATTCTGGAATAGTAATGGATGCCAGTGGGAGAAGTAGTCTGAGACCTGTGGCATGAGAGATTAAATGCTGCTGCTCATTAATCCACTATTTTGGAAATGTCATAAAATAAAACCCATTGGTTATTTTGTCCTCTGTTCATTGTAACATAGTTTGTAGGCTTCTATCACTGACAAAGGGGGATGTTGTTTGAGCTGAGTACCCCAGTTCAAATGAAGGGTTTAATGCTAGTTATTGTCTGGCCTGATTGTCTCTCCTTCATATCAGCACAAGGCTCCATCCCTTTTCACAGGGCACTTCTGAGTCAGTCTCGAGAGCTTTGTGAGCTTGGCATAAAGCTTTCAGGCAGCTAAAGAAAGGCCAGTTTTAATAAAAGACAGATTTTTCCTTTTCAGCTGACACGAGAGGTGGCACAAAAGCACCTAGGTACTTGGTTGACTTTATTTAGAGTGTTGGAGATTATATCCAATTCCAAACATCACTGTTTTAAAATCTCCACATTAGTGTAGGAAACACAGTTTTCAGTGACCAGTGGTGACACTTTTCACATTTGTGATCCGTGGTCTGCAGGGTAGAGTAGACCATTATAACTGCCCTCTCTTTGTAGCAGGTCTTCTCTATTGACCACCAAGGTAATAGCTGATTAGCTTTTCAGTAGCTATCTGAATTATCAGTATAAAACCTGTTTTCACCTGCGTATCCGAGTTACTAAGACTTCAGTGACTGAAATATTTACAGAAAATAGTACTGCTAGAGCCTAAAGGCATGACAGAAGTGAAGATTATTTTTTCAGCTTTGTTAAAAATAACAAAAAATATTTCTGTGGACCATCAAAATGCACATTTATGTCATTTTCATCTTTTGATACACCAGTTAGGTGAAGTTTCACTAGTCAACAGGCCCCCATTCTAGCTCCAAAGGCTTTCTTGTCTTTTTGGAACAGTGAGGTGGACTCATGCCTGTACTTCTGAAAAACTATGTTCCTTTCCATATAATCTACTCTTGTGCTACAGCTGAGTTTAAAAATGAGGGAGGTATGTGCTCAGCTTTTCTGTTTAGATAGAAAAATTATCCTGAAAATTAATGAATTGGCAACCAACCACAGAAAAGAACTGGCTCATCAATTTAAATTTACTGCTGTTGAAGCTTGAAAACTCTATGACTGGCTTTGAACTGACCTATTCCAAAGGTCAGAGGGCAGACAGGGGTCATGGTTAATCTGTCTGTACTCTGACTCTATATGAACATATAAATGTAATGATTTTTTTAATGTTTATATATATAAATTTTAAAACAAACAAGACATTAATAAAACCTTTAGAATTTTCTAAATGAATTTTTTTTTAAATGTAGTTTTAAAAAATTGTAGTTTTAATTTGCATTTCTCTAATGGCTAATGATTTCGAGCATTTCCACATGTGTCTGTTAGTCGACTGAATGTTGTCTTTGGTGAAGTGTCTGTATCCTTTGCCCATTTTTTAATTGGATTATTTGTCTTTTTGTTGTCAAATTATCAAAGTATTCTATAGATTTTAGCCAAAAAATTTTTTTCCAATCCGTAGGTTCTTTTTTTACTCTTTTGGTGAAGTCTTTTGATGAGTGTAAGTGTTTAATTTTTAGGATCTCCCAGTTAATCTAGTTTATCTTCTGATGTTTGTCTATCGTTAGTTATGTTTTGTATTCTATTTATGTCATGTATTAGGGCCCTTAGCATTGTCCCTATTTTATCTTCCATGATCTTTATTGTTTTAGGTTTTGTTTTTAGGACTCTGATCCATTTTGAGTTAGTTTTTGTATATGGTGTGAGGTATGTGTCCTGTTTCATTTTTTTATGGATGGACATCCAGTTTTGCCAGCACCATTTGTTAAAAAGACTGTCTTTTCCCTCATTTAATGGACATTTGTCCTTTGTCAAAGATCAGCCGACCATAGATGGATGGATTTACATCTGAGTTCTTGATTCTGTTCCATTGGTCTGTGTGTCTGTCATTGTACTGGTACCAGGCTGTGTTGACTACTGTGGCTGTATAGTAAGTAGGTTCTGAGATTAGGTAGTGTGAGGGTTCCTACTTTGTTTTTTTTTTTCCAGTAATGCTTTGTTTATCTGAGGCTGCTTTCCTTTCCATATAAAGTTAGTGATTGGTTTTTCCATCTCATTAAAGGGTGCTGCTGGTATTTGGATCTGGATTGCATTATATTTTTAGATTGCTTTGGGCAGAATTGACATTTTCACAATGTTGTCTTCCTATCCATGAGCATGGTATGTCTTTCCGTTTATGTAGGTCTCTTTTGGTTTCTTGTAATAGTGTTTTGTAATTTTCTTTGTATATAGGTCTTTTACGTCCCTGGTTAGATTTATCCTCAGGTATTTTATCATCTTTCTAGGGGCTATTATAAATGGTATTGTTTTCCTGATTTCCTGTACAAAGTTCTCTTTGTTGGTGGATAGGAATCCAACTGATTTTTGTGTGCTGATCTTGTGTCCTGCTAATCTGCTTAATCTTTCTCTTAGTTCCAATAGTTTGCCATACAGTCTTTATTGTCAAATATTTGCATACATTTCAGCTATATAACTCAAATGGACTAAACTTAAAAACTCAGAGACTCTAGGGACTGAGAAGAATTCCTGAAATTTCTTTATTTGAAGAAATTATCTATCTGAAAGTTACAATGAATGAAAACACCTGATGGAAGTGATGTTATGACCTAACATCAATATGTGGTGCCACAGTTGCCGTAATTAAAATTCAATCTTAGATTCCTTAGAGGGTTCTCAAACCATGGTGCTGCTGCCTTAAATCTAATAAGAAGCAAATGGAGCCATTAAGAAATATAATAGCCCTAAATATTTAATCTTACTAGTGGCATTTTTAAAGCAATTAGAAGCCTTAAATATACAGGGAAACACTTAGCCAACTCATTACATGGAATCATTTTTTTTTACCATCTAATGCCAGAATTAAAGTCTGAATCTAAACCAAGAGTTGATGATCATGCTCTTATTTTCATCCTCTTTCTGATGCTTGAGAACAGTCATTCTCAAAGTATGGTCCACAATCTATCAGATCCTCTGATCAAACAATGCAAGTTGTTTTTTTGATTCCTAATAGGCAAATGTATGGTTTTATAGGCTTTGATTTTTATATGTGGTTAAAAGCTAATTGCTAGTGGCCATCTCTGTTATTACAGTCCACTACAATTTGGTATAGGACATTGTTTTATAACAAAATCATACTTACAATAATCTCATGTATAATGTAAATAGTAAGTGACTGATATGTTTCTTTACAAATCTTTGTTATTGTAGATTTGTTTTACCTTTGGGAAGTGGAAATTTGTTGGCCTTGCCTAAGGAGGCCAAAGTCAGGAAAACTTGAGGGTCACTTATAAATTAGGAAGAAAAAAAAGAAGCCTTACTCTGAATTTCTGGGATTTGTGTCCACTTTCCTCTGTCCTTACCTTTTTCATCTGTTCAGAATTGTTCACAAGAAACCCTTTCGGTCTTTCCAAGTTTCTAATCATTGGATAGAATCATACAGCTAGTGAGAAAGGTCAAAGTACAGATAGAGAATGGGAAAGCACAAGAATCCGATAATAGAGTGTGATTTGTAGTCCTTTTTGGGTCACTTTTACTTATTTTTTGCATATATTTTCAATATCTCTTTATTCAAATATATTTTCTTATGCCCCCTCCTTTCTTTCATAAAAGGTAGTGTGCTTTATGTATACTATCCTGCACCTTGCCTTTTTGCTTACTATGGTGAAGGTCTTTCCATATTAGAAATAAAAATAGACCAGAAGGAAAGCTGCTTTATTTCTTAGTTTCTTTCTTCCTTTTGTTCATGGTATTCTGTTGTATATTTGAACCATAGCAACACAATTTTTGTTATGATGAGTATGTATGACTTAGGCAAATAGGCAGGTTTTTTTCATATTGTACTTCAGCTTTACCTGTACAATCCTTGCCTTTGGCCCAAGTCTATATTTACACTTGAAGTCTGTTTTTCTCAAAACCCAGTCCCTCTGTATATAGCAGGCTTTCTTCACTAGCATCCTGGAATCTACAGATTTTTAGAAAGAAGTTCCTCAAGTTGTTGAAGCATATTTTCTGAGTATGGAAGATTAGGACTCTTGAATAGAAAATATTTAGGGAAAGTTTCTCATATTTTGGATGAATGAATGCTTGTAGTTGCTATGGGGATGATGCAGTGTACAATTAAAGATAATTGGATGTTTTTAGGAAAACTCCCAAAAGTAGTTTGTGTGAATGGTGGTAATCGTGTTAAATTCATGAAGATAAATCTAAAATATCAAAGTGAGTATTACAGATTGTACATGTTGAGGTATTTTTGGACAATATAGAGTAGAAAAAGGAGAAAGAGGGGTCTCTATAACATCTTTTTTCAATGGATTTTGTGGTCTGGTTGGTTGGTTGTTTTTAAACTTGGCTATTATTTGGGAAATGCCTACTGCTTAGAGATAAATGAACAGAGATTTCCGCAATGTTGTTTCAATATTGACATGTACTATGATCAGAACATTGGACTGATTTCATTTCTTAAAATTTTTCTGATATTTTAGACTTTAAAATACTCAGGTTCCTACTTCTAATGTTGACTACATGTACTTGATTTTCCCAGGATCATTGTTTTCATTTGTAGTATGCAAATGAAAGATTATTGAGAGCATTTTCTTTGATTTTCACAAGCAGTTGGCTCCCACTTCATCTCTCAATAGAACATCAATAAGCTAACTATGTATTGGAGGCTTTTTTAACCTTTTTGTTGATTTCTTTTTTTTTTAACCAAATGATGTTTATTTGAAACTCTTTGTGGTGAATGTTTTAAAGTATTAGGTATCTTTGTTATTTTAGGATGCACATTCACAAGGTGAGGTGGTATCATGCTTGGAGAAAGGCCTGGTAAAGGAAGCAGAAGAAGGAGATCCCAAGATTCAAGTCTCTGAACTCTGCAAGAAAGCCATTCTCCGGGTGGCTGAGCTGTCTTCAGATGACTTTCATTTAGACCGGCATTTATATTTTGCTTGCCGAGATGATCGGGAACGTTTCTGTGAAAATGTGAGTCAGCTCAGAAGCTGTTATTCTTTTCCTCCTTTTTAAAAATATTTTTTATACTGTATTGCAGAATAACTACCACAAACCCACACATATAGAACAGCCTCTGAAATGGAAAGTGGAGTTGGTCCCAGAGTACCAGAAAATATTAGGTGCTCAGCCTTGACCGTTTAACTTCTGGTTGACATTTGACTTTCTGATAGTCTCCACACCTTATTTTTTCTGCTCTCATCTTCTTATCTCATTTCTTTATTTCAGTTCCTGAAAGTCTCTTACTGGCATCTATTCCATGTCTAAACTTTGTTACATTTACATATGTACAAACACATACACACACACATATACATATATACACACACATATTTCACAGGTTTGGTTTTCTTATACATATTTAAATTTATATGTTTTGGCTAAGGTAAAGAGTACAGCAGGTGGCTAACTTTTAAAGCCAAATCCATGATTACTACCTGAAGATCCTATAGGACAACTTTCTAACACTTTAAATAGAATAATCTCCATCCTTACAGCAAAGAGCGTTAACTTGTATAACCTTCCACTCTGCCCTCTGTTTTGAATTAACTGCTATAACTATCAGAGCTACTGATTAGAGTTTTCTTAACTCTAGCATAAAATGATAAGAAGGGAGACTCACTCTGATGCTTCTCTCTGTTTACTAATTAACAGTATATCTGGGAACAAGTAGCCAAAGATTATGGGGAAAAAGTTTTCATCTTTACTGCAATCACTTGTCATTCAGAAGTTGCTAGATTTTTTAAGTGGCTGAGTCATTTATCTAAAGGCTTAGTTCTACTATATGAGATTGTGGATAGTGCCCAGCATAGCTACTTGGCCAATAATAATAATGTCTGTGTTCTGGCTTATAGACACAAGCTGGTGAAGGCAGAGTGTATAAGTGCCTCTTTAACCACAAATTTGAAGAATCCATGAGTGAAAAAGTAAGTATTATTTTGAAACAAACCAATATTTTATTCATTCCTCAAAAGCTTTTACAAAACCTCTCAAACAATATTTTTAAAAACTCATACCAGAAATGACTGATATCCTTACCCTTTTCAGAGATGATATACTTGGATTTTAGAAGTGAACCAAAGCATATTTGGCTTGAACCAAGAAAACGAAGCTCTTATTTTGATATTGAGACACTAGGTAGCCTACTTTGAGAGTAAAATTGGAGAATTTTAAATCAGAATCATACTGAGGCCACCTCTAAGTACTCAGGAAGTTTATGGTAACCAAACTAATGTGTTTCATAGATAGCTAGCCATTTAATTTTTCAACTCTTGTCTCATTACTATTAGTCCTCTGTCCCTGGATGAATGTAAGAATCTTTTATAATTTTTCAAAGTAACTATTTTTGGTTTTGCTGTTCTGCCATTACTTTCCTGTGCAGCTAAAGAAGTATTTTTCATTTCAGTTTCTTTTATTGTTACTATTGATTACTTGTATTTTAAAAGTGTAAAATGGAACTTCCATACTGTTAGCCCAGTTGCCACCCATTTACACCAACTTCACACTTGTGCTAAATTTTAACCAAACTTAAAGGTAGGCATTTTGATAATAGCCACATTTTCGGACATCTGCCATGTGCTTGGCTGTAAGTCTCCGTGCTTTTCTTGAAGATACATGTGAACAGCTGAGCCACATGAGTGGCCTTGCAACTCTCTTGCTTCATTCTTTCCTCAGTGTCGAGAAGCACTAACAACCCGCCAAAAGCTGATTGCCCAGGATTATAAAGTCAGTTATTCATTGGCCAAATCGTGTAAGAGTGACTTGAAGAAATACCGGTGCAATGTGGAAAACCTTCCTCGGTCCCGGGAAGCCAGGCTCTCCTACCTTCTAATGTGTCTAGAGTCAGCTGTACACAGAGGTAATTTTATCCTTTTTGCTCCTTTTTGGATTCACACTGGAAAGCCTTTTGTACTTATAAATGTTAGTTTCCTCCTATATTGGCTCTTTTGAGTACATCTGTGCCTTCTAACCAGGGAGCCTTTCTTTGTAAGCACAGCTCTGGAAACTGAAGACTTGGTATCCATAAGTCTTGTTGAATGTACTTCCTTTTAGCTCAACAATTCCCAGTTTCATTTTTCTTTACTTTTTTGCTTTAAAAAAAAAAAAAAAGTATGTTAATCAAATCTAAATATTTTAATTTTTTAAATGCATATTGTGCAATATTTTTAGGAGAGTCAGGGTAGCATAATGATTTAAGTGGCTTTGGGTCAGTGAGACATGGGTTCAAATTATAGCTCTATCACTACACTAACTGCTTGGATGACCATCATTTACATTTCTTAATCTCTACAAACCTCATTTCCCTGTCTATAAAACAGAAATATTACCTACGTTGAAGAGTTTTAAGGATGAATGAGGTTAATTAAATAGTGCTGATAGTAAGAAATTAAACAATAATGGAAGAAAGAATTGCCCCCACAGAGTCAGACCCATGGTCTCTTCAGCCCAAAAGTCAACCCTGACAGAAGAACCAAGAAGGATGCATAGTAGGTCAGAGTCATCTTTCTTATTATCAGCTGCAGGCTGCGAAGATGAAATTCCTAGCTCTTATTGAATAAATGGTTCTGGGACAGTTGACTAGTGATTAAAAAGTTAAGTGGGGAAAAAAATCAACCTAAATCTCAGAACTTTTTGGTGAATTTTTTTTTCATATTTAGATAGAGGAAGACTCCTAAACTTAAAAAGTGATAGAATAGCAACTAGAGACAATGCATGGTCTTGGATTGAATACCAAAAAAAAAACAAATTGTAGTATCTCCGTATAATGAAGTAATACTACTAAGCAATAAAAAGTAATGAACTGATACACGGATGAATCTCAAAGTAGTTATGTTGAATGAAAGTAATCAGACAAAAAAGACTATACTATATGATTCCATTTATATAAACTTATTTAAAAAAAAAAAAAGATGAACTGGCAAGCTAATCTATAGTCACAGAAAGCAGATCAGTGGTTGCCCAGGGATGGGCTGGAGGGAATGGAGAGGAGCAGAAGAGAGAGATTCTAAAGGGATATGGGAAAACTTTCACAGCTGATAGATATGTTCAGTATCTTGATTTTGGGGATGGTTTCACCAATGTACATATATATATCATAAGTTAATAAATTATATATTTTAAATATGGACAGTTTATTATATGTTAATTTTACTTTAGTAAACCTGTTTTTAAAAGTCTCTTTTCTTCAGTTTTCCCAGCTAGCACTTATAGCTCAAGGAAAGGGTGTACGTGTGAGGGGCATTTGGGGGTTGGTAGTGAATATTTGAAGTGCAGTCTTTTCCACAAGCTTTAACTGTGTGAACGAGCAGGGATTGTTCTTTGGCTTTCATTTTTTTCCCAATAGTTATCTTATTAATAAGATTTCCCTTGGCAAAGCATTTGCATTATTAGTTCAGTAGTATGATATCTGTATAATGCATTGAAAAGGCAAATGATTTGTTACATATATATTTACCATAATAAAAAAAAGGAAAAAAATCTAAAAAATAATAATACAGACACTGACAGGATAAACCATAGTCTCTAGAGCCTAAGCCCATTTTATGCTTCTACAGTTTTTGCCAAGTTCTAATTCTAAGCTTTTCAGTTTAGAGAATAGCATGACTAGTATATTCTACTCCAGGCAGAAACATGTACTTTTTTTTTCAATGGTGGTAAAATATATATAGAAAACATTTGCAGTTTCAACCATTTTTACATGTACAATTCAGTGACATTAATAATACTCACCATGTTGTACAGCCATCACCACTATCCATTTCCAAAAAATCTTTTTCATCATCCTTAACAGAAACTCAGTACCTCTTAAGCAATAACTCCCCATTTTCCCCCTCCCACTGCCCTGCTCCCCCATAACCACTGATAAAATTTAGTCTGTATGCATTTGTTACAGATATTTCATAAAATTGGGATCATACAGTATTTGCCCTTTTGTATCTGACTTATTTCACTCAGCATAATATTTTCAAGGTTTATCCATGTCGTAGCATGTATCAGAACTTCATTTCTCTTTATGACTCAATAAGAAACGTGTTCGTGTTTGGTATACAGTGGTGGCTTGCGTGTTGCTATGATGCTGGAAGCTATGCCACCAGTATTTCGAACACCAGCAGGGTTACCCATGATGGACAGGTTTCAGCAGAGCTTCCAGACTAAGACAGACTACAAAGGAAGCCCTGTCTACTTCTAGAAATTAGCCAGTGAAAATCCTATGGGTCACAACAGAATATGGTCTGATATAGTGCTGGAAGATGAGCCCTCTAGGTTGGAAGGCATTCAGAATACAGTGGCTACAACAGACTCAACCATACCAACGATTGTGAAGATGGCGCAAGACCCGGCAGCGTTTCTTTCTGTTGTACGTGGGGTTGCTGTGAGTTGGAGCCAACCCAATGGCAACTAACAACAACAACAACTTTTGATATGTAGTGATTCTGATCCTAATGCTCATTCTCCAAAATATTGTGACTTATCTCCTAACTTAGGGCGACAAGTGAGCAGTGAATGCCAGGGGGAGATGTTAGATTACCGACGCATGTTGATGGAAGACTTTTCTCTGAGCCCTGAGATCATCTTGAGCTGTCGAGGGGAAATTGAACACCACTGTTCAGGATTACATCGAAAAGGGCGAACCCTACACTGTCTGATGAAAGTAATTCGGGGGGAGAAGGGGAACCTTGGAATGAACTGCCAACAGGCGGTAAGGAGAGGTTTTTCTACTGCCGTTATTAATGTCGTATTTTATCAGCTGATGAATCTCTTCCTGATACTGTCTCAACTTGCTTTATCTAGGACATTTTTTATATCAGTGAACGTAAGGTACTAAGAACCAACGCAAGGAATATTGTTTCTTCAGGTATATCTTAGTAAGAATGTAGAATTTGCTGCAGAGTAAAAGTTTGAACTCATAATTAATAAAAAGAGCTATATACTTAGATAGGTAAAATGCATTGTTTGCTAGTGTTTTTAAAGAAAGGGTAGCTTGACCAAGGCCTCCACCGGACTGCGTCCAGTACAACTTAGATGGTGCCTGGCTACCACCACTGACTGCTCTGACCAGGATCACAACAGAGGGTTCTGGACAGAGCTGGAGAAGGATGTAGAGCATAATT